ATTTGTGCAAGAGTAGGCCTTCCTTCCCCTGGCTGCCGGCAGCAGCTCCCCTCTGGTACCCGGGATCCGGGCTTCCCTCACAGCCCCAGCTTCATCCAGAAGGACATCCAGTCTAATTGGCATGTTACACTTTTATTATTATAGATGTTTCCCCTTTTTTTCTATATCAAGAACTTTTTTGGCTTCATTTTTTGGTCTACATGTGCCTTATCTTGAAGAGTCACTGGTTTTATTTCTATGTTTATTTTAACTGTCTTCTGCTATCTACTCTGCCAGTCTTCAAAAAAAAAACACAAACAAAAACAACAACAAAAATCACAGAACAAATGTTTATTGATGTGTACTAGGCCCTAAGGGTATAGTTATAATTAAGACACATTCTCTGAACTTGAGGAATTTATTGTCTGCTAGGATAGAAAATTACCTCAGCATATAGGGAATGATACACTACGTGCAAGAGCAATAAAAAAAGTAGGTGATAGATAAGGTCTAAACCTGACTAAAGGATGGATAAGAGGGTGCCAGGCTGAGGAAGAACAAGGGTGTTCCAGGGGAACCCAGCCTTAGTGGCAAAGCCTAAGTGCAGTCTGGTGGTTGAAGGAAGGGTGGGAGGAGACTGGTGCCAGGCTGGTGGAATGTGTGGTGTATCATTTTATCAGAAAAAGAGCCTTCCTTTAATGGTACCTTAATACACTTGAGAATGAGGAAGAAGAAGACCCAAGAAGAGACTGAGAAGCAGTTATTTGAACGATGGAAGGAGATACAAGAGCATGTGGTGCCATAGAAACCCAGAGAGGGGGCAGGCCCGCAAAGAGGGCTGGTTATGAGTGTCAGCTCTGCACAAATTCAACTATAATCCACTCTTCTTGATCATTTCCTCAGTTTGCCCATGTCTTGATTTCTAGACTCAACCAGAAAAGTCCTTTCCTCAACCTAGTGTCTCTTGATCAGTTTCAGCAGTATACAGAAATAACAATTAAGGCTCGGCCTGTTTTTCTTGATTTGGTACCACATTATGCACTCTTACCTTTTGGTACTATGCTACAAGGCTGCCTCAATGCTCTTTTTATCTCTCACTTCATTGACATATCTCTGTGGGATATTTTGCAAGTAAGTATTGTGTTAAGACTGCCTTCAATGTATGACACTGCCTTATTGCCTGTTCTTTTTACCTTTTTCTGTGTCTTTTCAATTTAAGTCGAGAATCCTCTTGAGTTTTCAACTTGTTTTCCAAGTTCCTTTATCACACTATGAACCTAGCCTTTGTGTGGCCCTGGCTCAAGTTCATTCCCATTGCCTCCTTTTGCTTATTTCATGAAAAGTCCTTTTCCTTCCTCCCCTTTTCTCTACCGAAGCACAAGCCGTCTTCTCTGCAGTGGCTGCCATCCTGCTTCTCTCCGCCTCATCGACTCCCCATCTCACTTCAAATCTCAGTGGTAAACATATGTTCTCCCTTGTCTGTACCGCTTAATCTCTCTTTCCCACTGTTACTGCTTTCTCTGTAATGGTATTATTTAACTTTGGTAAGCAGTTTATAATATGAAAGACGTAGTTGAAAATAAAGCATTATAATAAAATCATGTCCTATAAAGCAAGTTGTTTCCCAGGGAGTGTGAAGGTCTCACGATACAGGTTAAATGGTTGTTGTTTTGTATTCCTTGATGATGTGAGTATAAAAGTTCATTGTGTTGCCGAGAAATTCGCATTTCATAACCATTGCAGATAAATGATTGGATTAAATAACTAATAAAATAAAGGTCTCCCTATTTTTCATTCAGACTTTTTTTTTTAAATGGAAAATGATATTTTTATATGTTGCAAGAATCTTTAAAGAAGCATTTTGAATGAACTGAAAAGAAAATGTCTCCCAAAGATACATTTTTATAAGTGTCCTTTTGGAAAAATCTAGTGTACAGACTAATATTTACATATTTGCACCAGGTGGGAAAAATAATTTTGTTTTTAAATTCCATTCTCCTCACAAAATAGAGTTATTGTATCTTGTGCATTGGTTTATTGCCCATTAGGATATTCATTGGTTATCACAAATCACCTCCACTCCTTGGCAAAGGTCCAGACAGTACATGGACAGTTTGGACTTCTGCGTTGGTCGCTGCTGTCCACATGTGTCCCGAGACTGTGGCTCTATCCCCTCTTTTCAGCTTCATTTCCCAGGGAAAAGTAGATCGAGTTATCCCTTCTCTTCCATATGTTCTTCACCACCAAAACACTTTTATGTGCCATCTTAGTTGTTAGAAAGGAGTTTAGAATCAGTGAAGGATGTTAATAACAATGGGTTTGCACATTTTTTTCTATGCCTTGTTTATTTTTAAAAACAGATTTTTAATTTTATTAAATTTTTTAAATAGTGTTGCTGTTTGCTTTTTCATTTTTTGGTTATTTTTAGCTTTATCTCACAAAAAGTTAACTCTAACGATTATTTATTGTTGGGAAAAATAAAACATCCATTTACATTTCTCTTGTACACTGAAGATATTTTAACATGTAATACATATATTTATAGTTTGTAACTCACCTTTATATATGTTGCCTCAATGTAAAATTTTATTTAACAGCCTAAAAAATGACATTGCATATATGACACTTGCTGCTTTTGCTAGTATCCCATCTCGATAGGGGTAAAAGCTAGCTGGGAAACAGCTATAAAGTTTGTGGTTTGTATGTCAAATCGAATTTGACTTTCACAATTTGTCTCAATCTTTTCATCAAGAATATGAACATTCACATGAGTGATATCTAATTTGCAAATGTTTCTTTGGTTTTATAGAACTTTTACTTTCTGATAAATGCCATTTTATAAAGAGAGTGAAAAGAGCTTGGGTGAGCAATTTATAGGCTGTGGAGTAAGCAGTGATGTCCAAAGATTATACAGTCAAATGCACCCATCCACCTTGGCAGATGGTATTTCCTTCTCTTAAAGATTTCTAGGAATAAAGCATCCAGTCTCCCAAATTAGCTGACCAGTCAATTGAGTTGGATACTTATACATTGTTGTTTATTTCCTAAATTACATTTTTATAATTTAAATTTATTTCATTACTTTTTTTCTTTTTTTAAATGCTCTAGAAATTTATGTACACTTCTAGAATGTTTTTAATATTCTAGTCTTTTTAAAAAAATATATTTTATTGATTTTTTACAGAGAGAAAGGGAGAGGGATAGAGAGTTAGAAACATCGATGAGAGAGGAACATCGATCAGCTGCCTCCTGCACAACCCCTACTGGGGATGTGCCCGCAACCAAAGTACATCCCTTGACCGGAATCGAACCTGGGACCCTTTGGTCTGCAGGCCGATGCTCTATCCACTGAGCTAAACCGGTTAGGGGTTAGGGCACTTTTTTTTTTCTTTTAAGAAAGGGAGTTATTGCCCTCATTGGTTTGGCTCAGTGGATAGAGCGTCAGCCTGCGGACTGAAGGGCCCCAGGTTCGGTTCCAGTCAAGGGCATGTACCTTGGTTGCAGGCACATCCCCAGTAGCGGGTGTGCAGGAGGCAGCTGATCGATGTTTCTCAATTATTCCTCTTAACTTACCTGGGGGCTTATTTTGAAATAAAATATATATGGTAAAAGAAAGAGCTGTATCATTTCACATTTTGGTGTAAAAGATTTTTACAGATTTTGGTGTAAAAGATATTTGTGCAATTGTAAAAAATTTTTTTTCTTAACAGATTTATACTTGTGGTAGGTGAGATGTTTGCATAAGCAAGTGATCTACTATGTAATTATTTTTTCCCACATTTATAACATGACCTGTTCTTCAGCACTGTAAATCTTTAGAAAGGGTTTAAGCTATGTCCTGTGTTGTGGAAGCATCCCTGCAAAGATGGTTCCCATCTGCCCCTAACAGGCCCTAAAGCATTACCAGGTCAGGACTACTTCTTTTTAAAGTTTTTGACTTGGGGATGGAGTATGGATTCTAAACCACGAAGGAAGTATGAACTTAGGTTCACACTGTGTGCCTAGTACATGCCTAATAAGGGTCTGATTTTACTCTGGTGACTCTCCCCCATTTCCTAGGTTGATATCACATCTTGGGCTTCCTGGCCAGTGAGCTAAGTTTTCCTATTCCTGGTTTCATGGATAGGGTGATCTTTGCTGAGTTTTGGCTTTCCACATGGCACCCGTGGCTTGAAATGCCATTTTTGTGTGAGTGTCAGAAAGTCTCCTTATAACCACTAAGGCCTTGTAATCGATGCCATGAGCCACATTAGCTGCAGCTCCTGCTTTCTGTCTTTGACTTTCTCTGTTTCTCTGGATTTTCCTCACTTGTTTCAAGCTCAGCTATTTATTTACTGTTCTACTTGTTACATTTTGTCAGGCATTTCACTGGGTTTGGGTCTGGCTGGGATTGAGAAATAGAAGGATGCCGTTAGGTAATTGTAAATTATTTTAGACATAAATTCTTCGTGTGCTTATTTCCTTTTCTGTCAACAAGTCAGATACTTTGTTTTTACTATGTGCTGAGTACTTTGAGAACTGAAGATCTTTGGCTAGATTCCCTCCTTCAAGAAATTTAGTTCTATGTAGACCCTTGTGGAACTAGGTTATATATCTGATACAAAGATGGCACCAGCAGACAGCAGAAAATAAGCCTACTTATGTGTTTTATAAATTGTAATGTTTTATAATCTTAGCACTAAAGTTTTAAAAGGCAAGCACATTGTTCTACTAAAGAGACGTTAGTACAGTCCTCTTCTTTTACTTAGAAGAAGTTCAACTCCAGACTTTACAGGTACAAAATCATGTTTGATTTCCTTGTGTGTGTAGATGAGAGGTTAACTACTCAATGTGAATGGGGTCAGGCCTGGGCTGTGAGCTGGCAGAGCTGGCCAGGAATAATAGCAGATACGCAGAGAGCTCAGACCTCTTCTAAATGGGGTCCTCTTGATTGTTAAAAAATTACAAACTAGTCAAATTTAAAAAAAAAACACTGTCTGATCCCAATAAAATGTCTGTTGGCATAGTTTGACTCATAAGCTCTGGGTTTACAATCTCTATTTAGAAAGGATTCATTATTATATTTTGTATATTCTTTCATAAAATTAACAAGGTATATTAGTTATTCATAGTAGTCCACAAATTCAGAAAAGTGTGACCTATTCAGTTTGAAAGTTCTATCTAACAAGTAGCTGTTTATCAATGATAAATCTTTTGGGATAGTTGACTTCCTAAGTTGAAAATTAAAACATTTTTAAAAATTATTATCTTACAGGTAAAAGAATGTCACATGTCAACATTTGTACCTGAAGTCAACATGCCATTTTCAGGCTGCATGGATGAGTGCCAACTTTTGCATATCCTGTGACCTTTCTATCTGGGGGTGAGTGATTTTTAAGAGTGGCTGGCAACAAACCAGATGCCAGCCAGCCGTAGATCACCCTAACAAATAATACAAAGAGTTATAAATTAAGCACTGTCTGGTGATCTGTGATGTGTAAGGCAGTTAATTTAGTTGGTCTGGATTAACTGTCAGCTCCAGAAAACTATATTCCCATAATGTGAGATCTGTACTCTGCATGTTTTGGCATGAATAATAATTAACAATAGGGAATCACTTGTTAAAAAGTGAAATTAAAAATGTCTAAGATTTTTTTGGATTTACAGCAGTATTTTAGTGGTTTACCATATACTTTAAATAATTTTAATTTTTAAAGTTTAAATTCAGTATTTCTTGAAGGATAGTTATAATTTTGTATAAAATGGGAGTTTTGAGATGATACATCTTCCATTGTTTTATATTAGTTTTACTTCTCATGTAGCATAAAATTGTATCCATTTCAATTATTTAGATTTCTTAAAAATACATCATATAGATTATACTAGAGATTCACATTTACAGTGAATTTTTTTTTTTCAGTTTCATTCTGGGAAATTACATTGGGTAAAAAGCCTGCTTATTACCTCATTTTTATGCATTTTTCTGCTTATTTAAATTATTTTATCAAGCCATTCAATTTTTTTAGAATATCCTTCAGAGAGTTTATGCATCTTATGGAAGACACCTGACCTTTTGAAGCTTCATAATTCACATCTGCATGTCACCAGTCTTCCCCATGTTAACAGTTCTGACCATGTTTTATTATCTATGCCTGCGGCGCCGAGCCAGGACAGCTGCGAGGGGAGAAATGATGAACAGCCATAGAGCCATAGAATCAAACAGCCGGACTTCCCCTCTGAATGCAGAGGTGGTCCAGTATGCCAAAGAAGTGGTGGACTTCAGTTCCCATTATGGAAGTGAGAATAGTATGTCCTATACCATGTGGAATTTGGCAGGTGTCCCAAATGTATTCCCAAGTTCTGGTGACTTCACTCAGACGGCTGTGTTTCGAACTTACGGAACATGGTGGGATCAGTGTCCCAGTGCTTCCTCACCATTCAAGAGGACGCCGCCTAATTTTCAGAGCCAAGACTATGTGGAACTTACCTTTGAACAACAGGTGTACCCTACAGCTGTTCATGTTCTGGAAACCTATCATCCTGGAGCGGTCATTAGAATCCTAGCTTGCTCTGCAAATCCCTATTCCCCAAGTCCACCGGCTGAAGTAAGGTAAGACTCATTTTGTAATGATCATGTCATATGGCCGAAAGGTGTTGGTTGTTTTAATGTTGCAGGGCTTGTTTTATTGGAAGCATTCTCTTATGTAATTTAAACAGATTTGATTTTTAAAATGTTCCTTAGTTTTATGATGGGAAAAGAAAGATCACATATCTGAAGATTTAATACATTCTTCATACCCTTAACACCTCACATCATAATATTCAGAGATTGTGAAATTTGTGTGTCACAGGATTTACTATTTACATAATTTGCATAGCAGTGCCTCTTTATTTCTCTTTCTCTTGTTTTTGTAGTTCAGCCAGCTGGTTTTTTAACATATAATTATTTGACTAGTATATTCACATGTTTCATTAACCTAAAAAGTGCATAATTTAAAAAAGTACCCTGTTCTCCATGAGCCTAGAACTCATCTCTCCCTCCCTGAAAAAATACAAAAAATGTCACTTTTATCCACTTCCTTTGCATTTTTCCAGAGTTTATTTACATAAATATAAGCAAATACAAATGTAGTCATATTTTCTTTATACACAAAAATAAGCACACTGTTCATATTGTTTTGTACCTTATTTCATTTAGTCGTACATATTGGATCTATTCATAGAAGTGCAAAGAGTGCTTACTCATTCTTTTCTACAGTTGCAAGTAATGCACAATGTATGTGTACCCCACCTTGTTAACCACTCTCCTATTGATGAGTACTCAGTTGTTTCCATACTTTTGCTGTTATAAACTTTAAGACAGTATATAACCTTGTCATGAGTCACTTCACATGTGTGATAAATTCTCAGGATTGTTGGGCCAAGTTTCTCTGCATTTGTAATTTTAATATATAGTGTCAACTCTACCTCCAAAGAGGCTCTACCTATTTATATTTCCAATAGCAATGTATGTGCATACATGTTTTGCCAAAGCCCCTCCTACAGAGTGTGTTAATACATTTTAATATTTTTGTCAATTTGGTAAGTAAAAAATGTTGTCTCATGTTAATTTTAAGTTAAAATTATTAGCTGAGATTGAATATCTTCTCATGTTTAAGAACTGTTGATATTTCCTTTTCCTTGAGCTATCCGATTATATTATTTGCCCATTTTTCTATTACTTGCTGATATTATCACTTTTCAGATCTTTGTATCACTTTATTAATTTATTCATTAAATATTTGTGTGTCTACCATGTATTTAGCATTATGCTAGTTATTAGGGGTACAACAGAGAACAAAATAGATAAAATCCCTGCCCTTGAGTTTATTCTAGCCCCAGTGCAGTTTGTTGGCACCTGTTAAATTGTAGGATCCTAGGTGCCAGTGGAGGAGTAAGGGGGGCAGGGATCAGCTGCCACCTGACATACTGCTTCTTTGGCTTCCCTGTTCCCTCAACTCCGAGGAACAACTCCCAGCCACCCAGGAAACAAAGGTAGAGCACAGCTCAACTCAAGCTGGAGACTGCTGGTATGACCTTTATTGTTCTTTTAGAACTGCCTTGATAATTCATTGTGAACAATATTATTAATGAACCAAATTATTTTTTAAAAATCTTTGTTATTGAAAGTATTACATATGTCGCCCTATTTTCCCCTATTGACCCCTTCTAGCTTGCTCCCCCCTACCCCCCCTAGACCTTCACCACACTGTTGTCTGTGTCCATGGGTTATGCATATAAGCATACAAGTCCTTTGGTTGGTCTCTTCCCACCTACCCACCCACCCCTGCCTTCCCTCTGAGATTCGACAATCTGAATCAAATTATTTTAAACACAAAAACCCAGCATCTTTTAATATACAGATTTTTGTTTCTGAGAGGAAATAAAAGTACTTTGGGCAGAATTTTTTTTTATATAAGAATTGCTTTTTTTGAACTCTGTCATTTTTTGCCTCTTTCCTACAAAGTTATCCACCTTTTTCTTAAAATGCTGACCAAATTCAGAGATAGAAGTCTATGAAACATGTAATGTCTTTCCTCTAATCTAACACTTTATGTCTGCATAGTTGATTGTGAGTATAAACTATACTCTTGGTTTCTAGCTGAGAGCCCTAATGTGTGATAGTGACCAAAGTGATAGCTTTATTTACAGTGAAATATAATGTACTTAATTCATTTTTAGCTTTATTCTACAGAAAATACCATTACATTTTAGGAGAGAAAGAATCAAACCAACATTTACTATTGCAGAATAGAAAGGGGTCTTTTTAATTTTCCTGATTATGAAATCAGTAGATGTTTCATTGTTTAAAAAGCTTGTTAGGAAATACAAAAAAAGAAAAGAAAATATACAGGGGGGGAAAACCACTTCACAATCTTCTGCCTGGATTCGGTAGCTGTTCTCATTTTGGTGAATTTCTTTGGATAGTTAGAAACATGGCTTGCTCTGCCAGTTCAGTCTGAGAACAAAACAGAGAGCCAGACAAATATGGCTTGTGTTCTTTTGAGTTTACAGGCCAGCATGGAAGAGGACCCTGAGATTATAGGGAACATGTGTTGGTGGAAGGAAGAGCCTCATTCATTGGGCTCAGGGAAGTTTACACCGCGGCAGTGACTGAGACTGAGGGATGAGGAGGCTTAAGTTTGGATAGGAAAGATGGAGAGAGAAGAGCACACGCAAAGGTGAAATCATGAGCTGAGATCTTGGTGTTTGAATAAGTGAAAGTCCCAGAGTGTAGGAAATGAACTATTGAAGGGTCACAAGCATGGAAGTGCCTATCTTAAGCTCTGGAGTAGTGACTTCCAGACTTTGGGATGTCATAGAGTGCTTGGGTCCAGTTTCCCAGAAGCAGACCTTGAGAAGACTATTCCTGTGCAAATGATTTGTTATGGAAATCCTCTTGGAGAGACCAGTATGGGAGTGGGGAAAGTGCTTTGGGGAAGGGAAGAAGTCAGGCAAGGATGCAATTTCATGTGTGCAGTCCCAGTCAGCCTGGAGGCAAAGTTGCTAGAGAGATGGGCTCTCACACTGCTGCACCTGTCTGTCATCAGTTATAGGCTATGGGAATGGAAATCTTTCAGGCACATACCACACCCTGGGTGAAGAGCCTCCCCCAGTCAGTTCTCTGAAGGCTGGAGGTGGAAGCCCTTAGTTGAAACAAGCAGAGTACAGGTAGGTAAAGTCAGCTACGATAGTGAACCTAATAGTAATGATAATAAAAATTAGAGAACTGATATAGGGTTGTCAGATTATTAACTTAGCTAAATAAACACATATTAAAAAGGAAAACAAATGAAATATAAACACCATTTATTATCACCATCATCTCACAGTAAAATCTCAGTTTATACTGAGAAATTATCAAAATCTCGAAAAAAGAACAGTTGGCAATTTTACACCTATATATGTGCATATATATATA